GATCCTGGTATGCAAATCTCACTTTATACTGTCGTTGTGGTCTGCCTCTACGTCCTGTGTGATAAGTACTTTCTGCAACAATCTTATCCACGTCATACTTCCCAYCCATACTCGGAGGTATCATTGATCGGCGACTTGGGAAGAGCTCATTCATTACACAAGGTAAGAGCTTGGACGCATGGAACACTGGATATGTACCTAGATGAGGAGGAATTTCAATGACATACGAAGGACCATCCACATTTCCAATTACGTCTAGAACTTGCCAAGGTCCTCTATAGGTGGGTAGAAGCTTCTGAGAAATGTTCTCTTCAAGAGCAAACTCTTTAGACTTTACCCAAACCAAGTCTCCTACAGCAAATTGAGACGGGCGCCTATGTTTATTTGCCTGTTCAATCATTTGATGCTGTGCTTTAATTATATTTTCTTTTACTTTCTCAATGTCTTTCTGATATTGGACTGCAAATTCACTAGTCCCTATAGGAAGCTTATGTACTTGATCCGGGTTCAACCGATCAATGGGTCTGCGTGGACGCCATCCCAGATGTAACTCCATAGGAGTCTTACATGTAGATAGATGTACATAGTTATTATAGGCACTGGYAACTTTAGGCAGATGTTCATCCCAGTCAATCTGATCAGGACGGATGTACATGCGTAAAGTTTGCTGCAAAATCTTGTTCATCTGCTCAGTCTGGCCATTAGTCTCAGGATGTCTGCCTGATGACATAGTCAACTTAGAGCCATAGACATTCATCAGTTGCTGCCATTGTTCACTTGTGAACCTGGTATCTCTATCACTCACAATAGTTAAGGGATGTCCAAAATCTTTTACCCAATGGTYAAAGAATTCCCGAATTACCAATTCAGTCTTTGCTTCCRCAGGTAAAGCTACAAAAACAGCATACTTAGTAAATCTATCCACTATGACCATTACTTGCGTTTTCCCATTCCTGCTTTTGACCTTAGTATCCATGAAATCTATAGAGACAGAGTCTCCAGGGCCGGTAGGGATAGGTAAGGGCTTAAGTAGCCCGAGGGGCGATTGCGTGGTGCTTTTRTTTCGTTGACACACTTGGCAACCCTGCACATACGAGATACAGTCTGCTTTCATTCGAGGCCAGGTATAGGAACGCAACAAAGTTCCGTAGGTCTTCTTCCATCCAAAATGACCTTCTGTATCATGGCATTCCCCCAAGATCATACTTTTAATCTCTTCATTATTAGGTATACACAGCCTATCATTTACATTAGTTCGTTCAAACAATAGACCCTGAGTTACTTTATGATCGGGAAACTCTGCTGGCTTCTCTTGCACTAGTTTAATCATGGTTCCATATATAGAATCAGAGGAATACGCATTCCTAATCTTCTCCTGTAGGTCAGTATCCACATCTAAATAAGTCACAATAGCACCGAAAAAGTCTGATCTGCGACTTAGTGCATCAGCAACAACATTATATTTACCTTTGACTGGCTTGAATTCAAAATCAAACATATCAATTTCCGCAGCCCACCTTGTCAACTTAGGTGTCATTCGAGCCTGCGTTTTTAGCCAGCGAAGTGTTTCATGGTCAGAGTATACTTTAAAATGCCTTCCTAGAAGGTAGTGTCGCCAATGATTGAGAGCCTCAYGTAGAGCATACAATTCTCGTTCATATGTTGAAGCGGCTACCTTCTCGTTAGGTAAACGGCAAGACATAAACTCTACATGTCCATCATCTTGTTGGAGTACAGCACCTATACCATATTGACTAGCGTCGGTTGTGACCACAAAAGGKAATGAAGGGTCTGCGATTTTCAAAACCGGATAATTGATTAAACACTTCTTCAGACGCTTGAAAGACATAGTGCAGTCTGAATCCCACTTCCAAATTACTTCCTTCTTAAGCAATCGACGAAGGGGAGCAGCTATTATCGTAAAGTGTTTTACCAACTTTCGATAATAGTTGGCTAACCCAAGGAACGACCGCAACTCAGTCAAGGTG